TATAGTATATATATATATATATATATATATATATATATATATATATATTCCAGATTTTTAAGATTTATATTTGAAAAAATATTTTTTGTAAATTAATTAACAAATGAATATTAATAAAATTATTTATATAAGTAACAAGTATTTAGTATTAAAACTTTATGCCGAATAATAAGTTTGCTATTTCTTAGTTATATTTAATTCTACTGGAATAAAAAGTAACAAAAATGTATTAATCAATACAATAAAGATATTTTAATATAAGCTATATATAATGCTTATATATTTTATATTCATGTCCTATTCTACAAAATAAAATAAAGAAATTAAATTTTTTCTAAATAGTATACAAATTTTACTATTTTGATAATATTAAAATTTTTTTTAGTGATTAAAAAGAATAATTTTTTCATTATTAAAAAGAGATTCAAAATTAATAATAATCTTTAACGTTTAATAATTTACTGAATAAATATATCAGTTTAAATTAGTTTAATTAGTGTAATGAATAATTAGTATATTCTATATCTATAACAGATTCAATATCTTATTATTCAACATTATATTACGATTTCTATAAACAGCCAACTTGTATCAAATTTTTTGCTTTATTAATATTATGAATATTCATAAAAGATTTCTTGTTCACTTGGCTCATTAAAATTGTACCACTTAGGGGAATCTTATAAGGAAAGGCTTTCTTATTTGGTATGCGTGTGTGACTAAGAATTTATTAATTGTATTAAATATATAAAACAGAGTTAATGAGTACATAAACTGATTTGTATAGATAGAATAAGAAAATTCTTCCTAACAAAATTCTCCTTAAATGGAACGTTTAATTTGAATTTACCATTAGTTGGTATCATGCTGATGTAAGAGATATCAACATGAAATTTTGACATCTTAAATTAATATTAAAATTACTTTCATATTCCAGTATGATTTTTATTACATTCACGCCAATTCATTCAGTCATTATCGTTCTTTCAGTTTAGGCAAACAGATCTCATAAGTATTTGAATGAATAAAATATAAAACATTAAATTTCCCTGCAGTAAAATATAAATCCATGCAGTCATTAGATTCTAATAAATTATCTAATTCAAATTATATTTATTCTTTTAATTTTAAAAAATTATTCTCATTTCATGTATTTTTGAATATATAAATTAATAAAATTTTTAACTATATATATTAATTATTAAACTTAAACAAAAAAAATAGATATATATTGCTAATAAACAATAATACAGTCTTATATAAAAATATCAAATAATTAACAACAATTTAATTGACAAAAAATATCAATTAATTTATTTCGATAAAACATCTTACAATGAATATCAATAATATCTAATTTATAATCAAGCGTATCAATGACTGCAATCTTTGTCATTTTTTTAATTATCTCTTCTTTATGACATTTCTAATATTTATATAAATTAATTTAATATATGTATATTCCATATATTATATACTACTGTTTAAAAACAAAAGAAAAAAAACCTAAGAAATAAGTAGTTAATTCTTTCAAGAACCTTACTTTTAACATAAACAATTTAAAAATTGTTGCTTGTTCAAAATTGAATTAAACTACTTCACAGATTGATTTTTATGAGATCTGTATGCTAGGAGAGGCAAAATATGAATTTGGAGAAATAACTGAGTGAGTCATTGATTTCACCTGAATTCGTAGATTTGTATGCTATGTTCTGGGACGTGTTTTAAATTCAATGATTGATACCTGAAATAATAAAAATTTTGTTAATTCTCAATAAAATACAATATTGATATAATTTTTTATAATATACTTTATAATATATTTACAAATTTTGATTTTTTTTTAAATACAAAATACATAAAAATAAAATTATAAAAATATTAATATTTTATATAAATTAATATTAATATTTTAATAAAATAATATTTAAAATAAAAAATAATATATAAATAAGATTTATATAATGAATAAAGTTTAATTACACATGCAGAGGATATTTGAGGATTTTTATAGATATCTAAAAATTTAAGAAATGATTCTATAAGTCAAAATATGAGAAAAATCAAAAATAAAAAAAATTGTCATGAATATTCTGATTTCAGTTTTGTAATTGATAATTGATAATAAATTGATGAAAATATTAAAAAATATTTTTCAGCACAAGTCTTTTTATATAAATAAATATATTAAATAAACAGCAGGGAAGATCCCTGATTATCAAACCCAATATATGGATAGCGGTTTATCTCTTATAAATTGAAGAAGAAAAGACTATATTGAAAATTATGATCTACATGTATATAATATATATATTATACATATATATATATATATAATTATATACAATATAATTATATATTGATTATATAAATATATAGAGAGTAATGCTCAGTTAAATTTTAAACATAGTAAAATTTTTTTATTCTATTCTTCTTTTATTATTCTTATTTCAATTTCCAATTCTAATTACAAAAGATAAAGAAAAAAGTAGATTAGAAAAAATAGAATAGACTTGTCAAGCAGCGATGATTAAAAATCGATATTTCAATGGAATATCTAAATTCTAAAGAGAAAAAAATAATGCAATAATCTATAAAATATCTATTTTCTATAAATTTTATCTTATCTTTATGAAAATAGAATTAATAAATTGCTAAGATTTTTACAATCAAAATGAGACAGAATACAAACTATTTTTATTAATAATCAACATTATCAATAATTATTGATAATAATTTAATTAAAATTAATCCAATTCGAGATTGTGATTACTAAAATTAGTCTAATTATATTTTGATATAATTATAAAAGATTTGACAATTTTTAAGATTGTTTTTATAAAAGTGAGATCAAAATAGAATTTTTTTTATCATATAAATATTTTTCTCTTTTATAGTATTCCTTTGAAATACCAGCTCAAATATCTTTATTTAATATATTTTATCTATATTTTTTTTTAATTATCTCCTCGCACTTTATCAAGATAGGTTTAAATTAATTCCTGAAAAAAAAAAAAAGCTAACCTGTTCATAAGAATTTTAAAGTTAATTCAAATTTTTTTAAAATTTAATCATATATTATTGATATATATTTTTTCATATTATAGAAATATATAAAATATAATTACCATTCAGAACTACGATGATAATAAAAGCCTTCAATTGTAGCAGCAGATTTTTGAAAGCAAATATAATAAAATCCTGCAAATGAGGCACCGTTGATATCTTTAATAGTATGATCAGGAACCAAAAAATGTTCCTTCCACCTCATAAAAACAAAATCAGTTCCTTTTAAAGCCTCATAATCAAATGTATCAGAATTAAATGTTTTAGCATATTGACGAAATGATTCAAATTTGCTCTATAATTAAAAAAAAATATATAAAAAATTATAAACAGATATTCATTAGAAAAAATATATATTGAAATATAATACAAACCCAATGTTTTCTATCAACATCTTCATCTGCATCCCATTTTCGAGTTAAAAAGGGATATTTCTTTGATATAATTTCACCATCAAAAAATGTAGTCAATGTAGGAAATTCCTCCGTAAGACCTTTAATTTTTAAATAGCCACATAAATAGCTATTCTCTTCATCTACATGCTGTAATATAAAAATATTTATTGAAACAAAAAATACATATATATAATTCAAATTTTAAATCAATTTTCATAATATTTATGTTATTTATAAATTATAAATAAATTTTTTTGTTCTCATTAAATAATATTATATATTTAAATTTTATATTAAAAATTTGTAGATATATATTCTATAATATATTATGTAAATTGTAAATAATAAAGTAATATGATAAATACACATATATTTATAAATAAATTCAGAAATATAAAAAAATTTTTTAGTAAGTTATTTTAATTCTGATTTATTTAAATATATAAACAATATGATAAACTAACACAAATATATAAATAAACTAATATAATAAATTAATCTTAATAGAAAAAAAATTATAAAATATTTAAAAAATAAAAGAGATCTAAACCACGCACACATACATACATGCACACATATAATCATTATGCAGTAGACAGATGTCAAAAGTGCAATAGAAATTTTGGATATTTGTGGCGCAATTTCCAGAAAGACGAAGAACTAACCTGCAAAACTACTTCTACGTCATAACTGTTGCCTTTAGACTTTTGAGAGCCTTGAAATCGCGAACCGTTGTAAAGCAAAGATTTTGTGACACCCGGCTGCTTTGAGTTTGCGGGCGGTGGTGGTACTACGTCAACTTTCACCGGCATTCTCGGCTCAAGTGAACGCTCTTAAAATTTGCCCTCTTTGGGCGACAATTCCTTCATTACAAAATTCTCGCAATGACTGCCGGTAATTTTCAGGACGTAGATGTATTTATATAAAGCCTCGAACCCAGACACGCTTGCGGTCGTAATTTTTATACGAAGATTGAATTCGATGTGTTTTAAAAAAATCTTATTTTTTCATACAAATATGCATTTATTATTATTTTTAGTAAACACTGAAGATAATCTTCTGCTACTAAAACAAAAAACTATATTTTCACTTGTTTTATTAACTTACGCATAACATGTCCTACAAAATTTTAGTTCTATTTTGCCGGATGTATAGGTACTTATTACTTACTAACAATTTAAATATTAAATTTCTTTTAGTCTCTCAAATTATATACTTATATTATTAGTTTTATTAATATTAATATTTTGTGATATCTTATAAAATATATATAATAGGAATTTTATTAAAAAAATAAAATATTGTTTATATTATTTTTTTTGAAAAAATGATTTTAATTTGCTTTCCCGCCATAAAATACCAATCTTAATAATAATATTATTATATATTAAATTGCATCAAAATATGTTAATAAATAAAATATAATATTCGAATTTTGTTTAAGAAAATATTATAATATAATTTTCATTTTCATAAACTTACAATTAAAACATTGATTTGATTCTATCAAGAAATCTATGAGCTGAAAGTGCTTAAGTTTCAAAGCAAACATGGAGGATTTCAGTGATACGAATTCGCACGAAATGACAGAAAATCACATTCAAAAACGGTGTAACAATCAATGGGTTCGATTAAATGTTGGTGGTACATATTTTTTGACAGCAAAAACTACTTTAGCTAGAGATCCCAATTCATTTCTCTACCGATTATGTCAAGAAGATTCTGAGCTTATCTCTGACAGGGTTAGTTGATGTTTTTAAATAACCGCGAATTTTAAAATATCACTAAATTTTATTAATTTATTTTATTAATTATATTTTCATTTATATGTACATTATTTATAATTTTTATATAATTAATAAGAATAATATATTATATTTAAATCAATTTAAATATATATATTATTATTTTTTTATAAAAAATATCTTCATATTTAAAAAATATTAAAATTTAGTATATAAGCAAATTTTGTTAATTTTTAACAATTTTAGAAATTTATATGTAATTTAAAATATATTAATATAATGTATGAATATGAACATATATCATTATTGTATTAATATAATTATATAATAATAATGCCTAATAATAATGTAATATGAATTTTAGTTAATTTACATAAAAGCATATTTTTAAAAAATTATATTAAATAAATCAATTTATTTATATATTTTATTATATAGGATGAAACTGGAGCATATTTAATAGATCGTGATCCAACATATTTTAGTCCTGTTTTAAATTACTTACGTCATGGAAAATTGGTTATCAATAAAGATTTAACAGAAGAAGGTGTTTTAGAAGAAGCAGAATTTTACAACATTACAGAACTTATTCGATTAGTTAAAGAAAGAATTATATTAAGAGATACTAGACCATTAAGAGATTCAAAGAAACATGTTTATAGAGTCATTCAATGTCATGAAGATGAATTAACTCAAATGGTATCAACAATGTCTGATGGATGGAAGTTTGAACAGGTATTTTTTTAATATCTTAAATTAAATATAATCTTTTATTTTTATTTTAATATAAATAATTTATAAATTATTATATTTTTTTTAATAAAATTATTTTTTGAAAATGTTTTAATTTTTATATTTCTAACAACTTTAATTTATTATAATTATATAAAATTATATTAAAATATTTAAAATATTTAATAAATATTTATTTTCAAAATTAAATATATTTTACTTTATTTGTTTTAGTTAATCAATATAGGATCTCAATATAATTATGGAAATGATGATCATGCTGAATTTTTATGTGTGGTTAGTCGAGAATATGGAGCCAGTCAACTTAATAGTAAAGAACAGGAATCAACTGATCGTGTTAAGGTACAATTTAATTATATTAAAGTTACAATTGTATTAAAATTTTTCATATTACTTTTTTAATCAAAGTAGTATATCATATATATTTTTCTGTGATTTATGATTATTAAATAATTATATTACTTTTTTTATTAATTATATTTTATAACTTTAACATTATATCATTAATATTAATAATTAAATTTGTTTTGATGTTATAAATTATAATTAACAAAATATTATATTGTAATATAATATATTGTAATATATTATATTGTAATATTATATATAATATATAATATATGTATATATATTGTAATATAATATATTGTAATATATTATATTGTAATATTATATATAATATATAATATATAGAGAATTTATATCGATTTCAAGAAAAAATTAAATTTATTTAGATAGAAAACTTCTATATTTTTATTTATATATATGAAATTTAATAATTTCTGATTTATCAATAATGATATATATATGATTTTTATGAATATTATATAACATATTTTTTTAGTAATTAATTAAATTAAAACTTAAAAATAAATAGAATATGTAATGAAAAATAAATATAAAAGAAAGAATATATATATACATATATATAATAATTTTAATAAAATTGCAGAAATGTAATTATTTTATAACACATTAAAAAAAATATAAATATATTTGAAATCATGTAAATATCTTTATATATTTATTAATATTTTATATTTGTTTAAATTTTATATAAATAATTATTGTTATTGTAAATAGAATGAATAATATAAAATATAAAATAACAATATAATAAAACATAATATATTATAAATAAAAAAAAATATTGAAACATTGAACAATATCGAAATAAATTAAATAACATATTACCATTTTATTTTTCACATATAATTATGAATTATGAAATATTTAAAAATCTAAAATATATTAGATATATATAAATTATATTTTTAAATATTTTATTTATTTTTTAATTTCTAATTTTCTAAATATAATTTTTGTTATAATTATATTATTTTATAATACAAAATATAAAAGCATTTTATAGTTGATATTAAATATATATTATTATATTTTATAAAAAAATTATTTTATATTGATTTCTTTTCTATTTAAAAATAAGAAATGTTTTTATCTTTACTCTTTTCTATGACTTTTGTAATCTGAAATATAATATATTTTTGGTAATTAATTATATTTTATTTATCAAAAAATTTCATATTTTATATTAATTCAGCCTAATTTATATAAACACAATGTTTTACCTCTGTTATTTGTTGTACATATCATGGTTTTTGTATTGCATGCTATACAAATAAAGATTTTTTTTCTTGATTTGATGGGCTGATTACTCTTTCCCCTATTATTTCATTATTTGTTATTTATTAATTTTTTTATTAATGCACATTTGAATTAATAAAAAAAAAATATAGTAATTTATAATAAAATTTATTAATTGTTAAGACTTTGCAAAATGTTGAATTCATAATGAAATTCATAATAATTATTGAATTTATATATTATTTTATTTTTATTAATAATATATTTTTTTTTAATATATAAAAATATTTTATCATAATATTAAACTTAAATTACAATGAAAAACAGAGGTTAAACAATATTAGAGATAATATTCTTATATCTCAAAAATTTTTTATAAATTAATGTTTATGTTTTTCTTTATGTATGTATAAAATGTATTTTTAATATAAATTCTACTAAACTTCTACTAAGCTTAAATTATTAAATTTATTATTATTTTAGGTTCTGCAGCAGAAGGGTTCTCGCATGTAATTTTTATATCCGTCCTTTTCTTTTCTTGCTTCATTTAATTAAATCAACCGCGCAGCAACAAGATGAAGACTGTTTTTATTTCTACATAAAAATTTAAGTTTATGTAATATCTTCATTGCTCCATTAATGTATAATGATAACAAAAAAAAAAAACAATACAAAAATATAATTTATAGATACATAGTTATTATACAGCAACACAAAACATAAAGCTTTAAAATCGAAAGTATGACATATTGATAAAAAAAATTTTTTCTTTTATTTTCAACTGATGTTTGGCAAGAGTGAATATAGATTATAGTGATAAAAATAGTGCTTAATTATAAATTATAAGGGATCATACATTTTATAATGAAAAAAATTAATACTAAAGTAAAACTTTCTATCCCACTTATAATCTATGATACTTTTCTTATAAAAAAAAAAGTGTACTAAATATAAAAAAATATATATATAAAATATTATATATATAAAAATATCACAAAACATGCTATAAAAAAATTATTATTTAATGTTTCAATTTCATTATTAAATAGTTTAAAAGACAATAGCATTCATAAACGTAATCTTTTTCATACAAATTTCTACAATGAATATAAATACTCTCTAGTAATAAATAATTTATCTTTTTGTAACAAATGTATAAAAATCATTCTTTTCTAATCATATCTTTGTCATAACATTATCTAAATTACTTACCTTTGCACTGCCGCTACAAAACATAAAATAATATTTGTATATCTAGTATGAGACTTTTAATTATCTGATACAAGTTATAATTATAAACATTAAAATTAATTTTGATGTAATATGTGGATAAAAAAGAAGAGAATGTAATTTTTAACAAAAGCAATTTATTATATCATTTATTAATATATAATAATGTACAGTAAAAAGATTTGAATATAAAAATTTTAATCATATAAAACATTTTTAACAAATTAAATAATTTTTAATTATTTAACATTTATTTTCTAAATATATATAATTTTCATTTTTTAATATTTTATTTTATATAAAATATTAGGAAATTAAACTGTAAAATTATGTCAAAAGCATATTATTTTGCTTTTCTTATCTTTTCTTCTTTTATTACAATTTATTTATGATTTATTTAGTGTAAATGAACTTCCATTTTTGTATATATTTAAGATTATAACAAATATCATTAATTTTACTTATTATAAAAAATAAAAAACATTATAAAAACATTATAATTATGTTGTCAATTGTTGAAGGCCTACTAAAAAAATGTTGTAGACAATATACTTATATTTAAAAACATTATTCATGAGAAAAAAGTTACACATAGCACTAAATTGTTATATTGTTAGAATTATTGTTAGAATTATATATAATATATAATAAATTATATATTATATTGTAAATGTGATGTATAATATATTATATATCATATACATATATATACACACATATATAATAGTTTTATGAAAAAGTTCTTTTTTAAATATTATATATATATAATATATATAATTTAGTGATGTTAATAATTAATTATAATATTAATTTATATTCATAATGTTACTTAATAAACATTAATAAAAAAATATTTGATTGTATAGTTTGTAATAAGAAACATAATTATATAAAAATTAGGACCAAGATTATTTCCTATAATGTAGTGTAATTTATGTCAAAAAATGGTATTATGTTATATTCATTCTCATATCAGTAATTTAATTGATATTATTATTCAGTATTATCATATTAAGTAGGTATATATAACTCTATATGTAAAAGAGTTTGTACTTTCATAGGCATATTTTTAAATCTATTGTAACTGTTTGATGTTTATTGTTAGAAAAGAAAATAATATTTATATGCATTCAAAAATAATTTTTTAATACAATAAAATAATTATTTCTAATTAAATAAAGAAATGATTATATGAAGAAAAATACAAATACAAATATGACAAATGAAAATTTATTATGTACAATTGTGATTTAAAAAAAATGTACATTTAAAATAAAAACAATTTCATTTATAAAGAATATATACATTTATTTATTAATTATAACATTATATGTTTATTAAATTATATAAATTAATTATATATATATAAATTTATTATAATATTATATAAAAATATAAATTTAACATAAAATTCTAAACATTTTTATTTTTTTTTTTATTCTGTATATACAGAGTATACATAAAAGTTTTGATTTCTAGAATTAATTCTTCAAAAAATATTCCATGAATATATTATTTTATATATTTAATACATATATAATAAAATATGTTGTTTTATTGATCAAAAAATTTAAGTTATAAATATTTTATAATAACAAATAGTAAATAAAAATTATTTTAAAATTATATATATATCTTTTATATATTTTACTTACATGTTCAAATTTAAGCAAAATAACAAATATATATACTTATACAACAACAAATACATACTTATTATGTTAATAATATCTATAACATTATGTAACTGTAACTACATATATATATATATATATCGATATTTGGATTGTTCAGGTCATTAATTTAATTAATTTTAAATTTCTAAATCATAGGATTTATCAGATTACAAATTTTTTAACTTTTACGAAAAACATTTCTATGAACTACTATTGCTGACTGCTTAGTCCCTAATTTTTCATAATTTAAGTTTTTCAATCAGGAAAGAAAAGAGAAGATAATAGTTCTAAAAAAAGGTTCAATTTCCAATTTTTTCTTAAATTAATTGCGAGCATGAATAATGAACGTAAAATATGTAATTATAACTTTAAATTTATTTTCAATTTTATAACAATGTATTTCAATGTATGAAATAATCTTTTATTAAATAGTTAAAAAATATCTATATAGTTTATATAACTATAAATCTAATCTAAATATTTAAATATTCAAGGAAAATAATATCATTAAGTAATATTTTTAATTTTTAAATATTACAATATTTTTAATATTATTAATATTTGTTACTAATACAAATGGATACGGTTTTACAAAATAATTAAATAAACAATCGTAAAATTAAAAGAGAAAACCATTCAGAAATATTAATATTTTCTTTTTCATTAAAAATATAACGAAGAACTTTCATCGTTTACATTTATACAAAATTTCAGTATGTTTATATATGAAATATGTAAACATATTTAATAAGTACCAATGCATCAAATCTGTTAAAAACATAACAAGTATAAATATAATGAATATATCAATTAATAATTTTTAATCATGAATAGTTTAATAGTTGAATCATAAATCATTAATAAGTATTAATAAATTATTGATTGTAATAATATATAATATATTTTATATTATACTATTATTTTATATAAAAAATAAAATATATTTATAATTTAAATAAAAAATTTTTATTTTATTTTTGTACATTATAAAATTATTAATTAATAACTAAGCATTTTTGTTTAGAAATATTATATTAATATTATTTTAGTTTTAATTTACTTTATAGTAAAATTTGTATGAAAATTTCTTTCACTCAAAAGATCCAGAAACATAAATATTTACACATTAATTGATTCAAAATATTTATTTTAATTTCTAATTTTTTTTTCTTTTTTTTTCTTTTTTTTTTCCCCCTAATTATTCCGAATAAAAGGAATATCGATTTTGATAATTTATGAATACATTGTAAAATTTAAATAACTGTTTGGCCCTAATTTTCGAGATATTTACAATAAAATTCGATAGATAGAATTTCTTATTAAATATGTAAATTATATATAAATTATATACATAAGAATTACATAAAATTTTCCTTATATATCTATGATTGTAAAGAAAAAAGCAAAAGAAGAGATTTTTCGAAATATTGATTTTTATAATATATCTAAAAATTATCAAAATCGGTGAGAACCCTCTATTCTAAATAATATATTAATGCTATTAATATATATTCATATATTAATATATATTGCGAGATATATATCGTATAAAGTATACCATATAAAGATTTTCGAAATTAAAAGACTTAATAAAAGAAAATAAATTCGGATATATATTTGTCTTATTAATTGGATAAAAGTTAACATAAGTGATAAGATAGAATGTAAACAGTTTCTATAATTTTCAGTTAATGTAAATCTTGTAAAATTTGAAATATGTTAAAATGATGCGTTCCAAGTTAAAATACTGAAAAATTTTTTCTATATCTTCTAAAATTGTTACTTTATCCACCATATTGCATGGTTTTTAATCATTAATTTGATTATTGATTTATTGATTATATCAAAAAATTAATAAAATAATTGAAATTTGAATTAATTAGATGGAATTCTAGCATGTTTCTTCGGTTTAAAACTTTCTATTTTTTTTTTATTAAAAAAAATATAATAAATAATTGATAAATTGATTTTATTTGGAAATCTCTCAGAATATAAATTACATTCAGCATAGATATGGACAATGTCAATATTTTTTTTATCTTATGAATTTTTTATTTTTTATTTTGATTACAATTCTATGATTTGCACAAGTATGATTTTTTATTGAAAGTAATCTATTCTTAAATTACAATAAATGATAAACAAAACAAATATAAATATATAATATTAATAACATAAACAACATTGAAACATATTAAAGATCGAAATGATATGAAAAAAAGATATGAAAAAATAAATTATTACAAATTGTGTAAATTACACAATTATCATATTTTGAAATAGTATTACAAATTCAATAATTAAATGATTTTTAAAATATATCGAAGTTTAACGATTACAATGGATAATTTTTTTGAATTTTAATTTCGTTCATAATAAATTATTAGAAATAATTATTAAATATTATTAAATATCTAAACTAATTATTTTTTAATATAAATAAGTTGATACTTTTTTATAGAAATTGATTCAGTTGGATCAAATAATTTATTAAAATATATTTGATTTAAAAATATAATTTTTGGTAATTTTCATGTCTTCTATATATTCATCTATGGAAAAACTAATCAAATTATATTTTAGAAATTATTTAATTTGTTTCTAAAATATTTTTTAATTATTTTAATTATAATTATATTATTTTATATTTATTTATTTTATTATTATTATTTTATAATTATTTTAATTATCAAAATAATTATCAAAATAAGCGATATTCTAAATGATAAAGTAAGATTGAACATTCTGTATAAAATTAATTTAAGCTAAATCTGATATATAAAATCACCTAAAATATATTTTTTTTTTCATAACAAAAAATATCGGTATCAATCAAACAAATTATTGATAAGTATATTTATATTTGATATATTTATTATCAATATTTAAAAATCGATTTTTTTCCAATGGATTTTAATATTTTTTATTAGTATATATAGTATAAAATTATAGATAATTTTTGATAGTGATAATCATTGTTAATTTTTTATCATTAATAGCAAGTCTTGGCAGCAAAAATATATCAAGTTTTATCATATCTTTCACATTTTAAGTTCATATTTCGCTGTACTGCAATGTACAGCCATATTTCTTATGTTTCTATGGATAAAGTTTGTGATAAATGTTAAAAGATGTCATTTTCTATAGAAAATAGTGGTAACAATGAAATAGTATTAAATATCAATAACTAATATTGTAATTGTTATATAAAATATAAAAAGATGTAAGATCTCATTAAAATTTATCTTTTACTTTTTATTTTCAAACAAATATAATTATGTAATTGTATATTTCTTTTCATTAATAATATTTACTTACTATGTATTTATTATTAATATATATTAATTTGTTTATATATTCAAAACATGTTTGTATTAATTTTATATATTGATATGAATATTACATTACAAAGAGTAATATGTGATTTAATAAGATAAACCAAAGAATTTCAAGAGTAAAATTAGCGGAATCAGCAAAAATATAAATATTTTATTTTTAATAAATTCATCAGCATAAACTTTTTAACCTCAAGATAAGCTTCATATAATGATTAATTTTTTTCTCCATTTATGATATACAATTGCATAAATTATTTTCCATTCTTTTATAATTAATTATCATTATTATATATTTGATTGATACAATCATAATGGTATATTATAAGAATAATAATTAAACATGATTCTTGCTAATTTAATACTTATAATGAAAATGTTTCTAAATGTTTTTTGCTATGTGTTTTTTCATTCCATATGTGGTTTGCTAATCATTATTATCCAGATCGATATGTGATACAAAGAATATAGCAAACATTAACTAAATGTGATTTCTTCAACTCATGAAAATATAACCATTTGTAATAATTATTCATTCAAAAAAAAAATATAATTAATATAACTAACAAACTATATAAACAAATAGCATAATTAATTAATATAATATAAATAAAAATTAATATAAAAATAATATATAATAATAATTAATTAATAATATAGTAAGAATAAAAATTTTATTATTATTACTGAAACTTTTATGTGGCATTATTTTTATAAAGTTAATGTATAAATTCTAATACATAAAATTTTTATTAATTGAAAAAATATTATTTACAAGATAGTACTAAGAATTCATTTTTACAAAAAATTATAAATATTAGAATATAAAATTAAATATTATAGATAATAATATATATTTTTAAACATATAATGATTAAGGCATATTGGCTATTGTTTTCAATGGTTTATCAAGATATCTTGCCAGAGCTTGTGCTTTTTCTCTTAATAAACCAAATCCCACATTTTCTTTAGCATACAAACATAGTAATAAATTTGCTACTTCAGTGATTACAACTTTGCCCTCCTAAAAGGAAATTGTTTTATTGAAAAAATATAATAAACTATCATATTTGATAACATTTTTCATTATATTCATTTGATTCTATATTAGTAATCTGTAAATTCCATGCAATATCATTTATATAACGAATTCATAGATATTTTAATAAATTATTTCAATATTTAAATATATTATTATTGAATTGTATTAAAATTTTTTATAATAAATATGAAATTAAAACTATTGAATATAAATTCTAATTAATCATTATAATAATATTGATTATCAAAATTGAAGTAATAACATTTTGATAATTTTTAAGCAAAAATATATTTAAAAAAACATATTTCATATATTAGGTAAAATTTAATTTTCTTACATATAAAATTTTAAAGATATTGTTTCATAAATTGATAGAATTTGACAAATAAATTTCAAAAATAATTTTAACTTTAAGAATTTATGTTTAAAAATCATGAATATTTAAATATAATTTAATGTTCATCTAAGCTTAAAAAGCAAAGTCAATAAAATTAAAATAATCTTTAGGCATTAATTGAATATAAATCAAACTTAATATCAATAAATAAAAATTAGCACTTAATATTTCATTTAAAATGTATACATTATTTATGTATACATTAATACATAATGTATACATTATTTATAATTTCATTGAGTATGAGTTTGTTTCTTGTCACCATTACAATATATAATGTCACAAACAATATATTTTATTTATATAATCACTAACTCATTTCATTAGATATGTAAGGACTAATAATATGCATGTATCTTTAGATCTTATTTGTAAGATTAAAATTATGATTTTTTTAAATATACTTGTCAAGTTTTATCTAAGATATTATATAAAAATTTTTTATATTTTAATCTATATTAGATTGTAATTTATTCTTAATTTATATTTATTACTTCATTAAATATATCTTTCAATATATTATAAAAATTTTTATTTCTAAATTAATTAAGAAAAAGTATTAATTCGTATAAATTTTGATTATATATATAATTTGGTTAATTAGCATTTGAACAGCAAAAATTGATAAACAATTAATTAACAATAAAATATTTATAATTACCGCACAATCCATCAATATAAATTGCAATTCATCTTCCTTAAATGCATTTCGTCCATTTTTTTCATAAGCTGACCAAATATTACTTGTAATAGCAGCAGTTACTCTTGCATCCTTATCACCATAACCACTATAAGCTAATAAACCACCATCTCTATTTAATAATCTGAAATACATTTTTATTTAATATTTGGTTATCAAATTTTATCTATTTTTTTTTTTTTTTTAGCTACAATAGTAATAAAAAAATATTAATTATTTATATAATTACATTTATATATATTTAACTTATTTTTTATAAAATTATATAATTTAATATTATCAAATTAATTAAGTTTAGAAAATATGTGTAAAGCAATAAAAAAAAATATTGATGTATTTTACTTACAATGTATTTTCTACGCCACCAGTATTAGCTTGACTAAGCACTTGTGTTAAAGCTTTTGGTTTTAACATAATTTTATAAATAACAAGTACAAATTTCTTTTTTTTGTTCCTTTTTTTAAATTAATTTTTTTTATTTATTTATTTTATTTATTTCATTAAATTTTGTATAATACAATAACAAGCATCTAGTTTAGATACAAATTATGAAAAAGTAAATTTGGCAACAATGTTGAATATATAGCTGAATTTATATACATTCAAATCTCGATATAGTCAATCAAGTTACTAAATTACTAACTTCATCGTTTTCTGCAATTTTATAAAATATTTGTATCAATATATATTATCATGGTAAATCAAAAATGATTATAGTTTAATAATATATATAAAAATAATATATATACAATATATTTAACATTATAATATAGCGCAAATATTTTCTATATTTATTTTCTGTAATTAATAATATAATTAGTAGAAACTAAAATTTTCAAATTCTTATTTTAAGCATTTTAATTTTTTATTGTTAAACAATAGTTCAATAAGTACAATAATTTTTTATTATTATTACATGCAGCAGCAATAAATAATTTACTAGTATTTTTAAATTATAATATTATTTTTTAATGTAAGAAATAATATAATTTTAATTGTTTTATAATTTTTTATTGAATTGCATTAATTGAATTATTATTTATATTTATATTCACTCTTGTTCAATAATAGAAATCTTCTTTTTCACTTTTATTAGCTTATTATTTATTTTTAAAGCTTTGTTTTAAAAATGATTTAAATTTACTTTATTTGACTTATTCATATATCAATATAAATATTTTCACTATAAGCATTATAATCTCAAATGTAAAAAAATTTATAAACTTCTTTTATCTTTGAATATTAATATATAATATTTGTACTTATTAAAATTATAATGTTTATATATTATATTATATATATTATATTATATATTATATTATATTATATATTATATTATATTATATATTATATTATATTATATATTATATTATATTATATATTATATTATATTATATATTATATTATATTATATATTATATTATATTATATATTATATTATAAATTTTTTTATTAAAAAGATTATATCATTTAAAATAATTTTGTTGAAAAATATTAATTACATTTCATCTTTTCATTTATAATAATATTACAATAGCATTTCCCGTATTAAAAAGTACCACGTGTCTAAGTTTAACATTACTTTTTGTATCTAAAAAAGGTTAGGTTCGTATAATTTATATTTGTTATTAGTTTATGAATATTATTCGAACAACTCTGTATTTGAATCTCATTTGTTTTTATTCATTACATAAATATTATTAAAAAATCTATTATCTCATCTTTTTATATTACATCGATACTAATCAACATCAATTTTCGTTTGCTATATGGATTTTATATTTTTATGAAAAAAAATAATTTATCAATTATCATTGTTTCCGAACAATTTATATTAATTAATGAGTTATATTTATATTAGCAATAAATAATTTTAAAAATAATTATTGTACAAAATTTTTTTTATTTCAGGATTTTGAATTCAAGTTTGATTTTAAAAAATTGTTTTGTTTTTATATTAGTTAGATTTTTATATTATTGGTTTTATCTTATATTTACATTCGATGATTTTACTGAAAAAATATATAAAAAAATTGATTATTATAATAATAATGTGAAAAATAATAAGTGAAAAATCTAATATTAATTTAAATTTTGCAATGTCACAATTTTAAATAACAATATATATCTAAAAATTTATATATATAAATATTTTATATATCGATGAAAATCATTGTACAAACATATATTTTTTATTATAAAAAATTTTTTAAAAATGTTAAATTATCATTATATCAACAAAATAAATATTTTATTGAAAGATATTTATATATTTATTTAAAAAAACAGTTAAAAAATTGTTATGTAATAAGTATGTATATACATTCATATACTATTTTTAAAAGAAAATTTAATAATCAAGTCTTAAATTTTTTTTTCGTATACTTAATATAATTTATTAATTCTTCAAGTGTATTTGAAAAATGATATATTAATTAATCAATTTTTTGAGAATTAATTATATTGATTAATTTTTTATATTTATTATAGCACATTCAAATTCAAAAAAAATGGAATTTAAATATAGACTCTGAACTGATTATAATATATAGGTAAATATTTTCTTTAAATGATAAAACTGCAATTTATCAACTTTTTCTAATTTTAACTATTTATTATATTTACATATTTATATACTTTTTTTAAAGAGCTTTATTTTATTAAAACAAGAAATCGAAATAAATGGCAGAAATTTGAAAAATGTCATTTTTGTTATTTTTAAAAATAAAAGATTGTTATTTATATAAAATTTCGTCTCTACACATACGTTCGTGATAATATGTATAAATAAACTATCATTTATTTTTTATTTATATCGATATATTGAGATAACAATTAATATGTATAATGGATAATGGATAAATAATATGTATAATGGTTAAAAGTTTTCTTATGATTACGATAGACGAAATATCTCAATTTCAATCTAATATAATTTAATTCAATATTCAAAACAATATATCTTTAATAATATGATTTATAAACTATAATATAAATATTTTTTTATTTACAGTAAACAGTTATTTATTTAAAATAAATAATCAGTAATTATCAGTAAGATATAATATAAGATTTATAAAAATTTTATTAATCGTATATTTTTTTAAAAAAAAATTTAATTCAAAAAATGTTACAAGTAAAATCGCCATTACTTTTTGAAATATTTTATGAATGTCAAACAACAAAAGCTAGAACTGGTAGAATAACACTTATTCATCATCAAATAGATACACCAGTATTTATGCCAGTAGGCACACAAGTAAGTTAATATATTAAATGAAAATTAATATTTTGTATACTTTATATTTAATATTTTTAATTATATAATATTTTATTAAATATAATCTTATATATAATCTTATATATATTTTAAAATATATTAGAACATTTAAAATCAAAAATATTTTTAAATTTTTTATGATATACTATAATAAAAATAAATAAAAAATAAATAAAAGTAAATAAAAATAAATTTAAAATAAATTAATATATATATGTAAATTTTTTTATATTTTTATTTGTAAAAAAACTAATGTTTCTTTTTATAATAAACTTTATAATAAAATTTTTTTTTTAAAATAATTCTATTAAATTTTCCATTCTATATAAAAATTTTATTCTATTTTAATTTAAATATTAAATTTTTTAATTATTTAGAAAATTTCTAATAATTTTAAAATATTTATAAATTTTATTTATTTATATTTAATATATATTAGTATATATATAAATATATATTTTTATAATAATATTAATTTTTTAGGGTACTTTAAAAGGTTTATTACCTCAACAATTAGAACAATTAAATTGTCAAATTATACTTGGAAATACATATCACCTTGGAACGAGACCTGTATGTAAAAAATTATTGTTACATAAAAGAATTTTCTATTTTTAATTTATTTAAAATATGATAATATAATTAGTGTAATATAATATAACTGTAATAATATAATTAAATTACTTGTTCAAATAATTTAAATAAATTCACTATTAAAAGAGTTATTATTTAGGGTCTTAATGTTATGCAAAAAGCTGGTGGTTTACATAAATTTATGAATTGGAAAAGAGCTTTATTAACTGATTCTGGTGGTTTTCAAATGGTATCATTATTAGAACTTGCAAAAATTACAGAAGATGGTGTTAAGTTTAAATCACCATATAATGGTAATTATTATATAGAAATAAAATTTAAATTTAATTTGTATTTATATTATATTATAATAATTTATATCATATTTTTACAATATTAAAAATATAAAAATGTAACATTATATAATATTTATTAATATTTTAATATTAATTTATTAATATTTCATAGAATCAGATTGTATGTTGACACCTGAACATTCCATACAAATACAAAACATAATAGGTGCAGATATAATTATGCAACTTGATGATGTAGTTAAAAGTACATTGACAGGACCAAGAGTAGAAGAAGCAATGTATAGGTAATATTGCATTAATGTATAGAATGTATAAAAAATAATTGTTGTGACTATCATAATATAATTCGCAATGATAGTCACACGCAACAATAAATCGTTTTTAAAAAATGATTTTAAAATTATTTCAATTATTATTTTTGACAATATATTTTTGTGTTATAATGAAATATTGGATAAATAATTGTGTCATTTCCAACAGAAAGTTTATATTCATATTTCAAATTTTTATAATAATAATAGAATATTTATTATAATAATAATAGAATATTTATTATTTATTATATAATATAATAATAACACTTGACACTGTTTCTCAAAGAAAAATCAATTCAACGCGATTTCCAATAGCCACAAAGTTTAGTAATCAGATTTCTAAATTAGAAGTGTATACAATGTGTGTACAATCACTATAATAATTATAATACTTATTTTTTATATATCCTATACATTATAAGTTACATTATAATATAGTTATATTACTAATTCACATTAAAAATATTTTTGATACTTAACATATTATTTATAGAACAACTAGATGGTTAGATAGATGTTTGAAAGCACATCAAAAACCAAATGAACAAAGTATATTTCCAATTGTACAAGGAGGACTTGATCCCAAACTTAGATCAGAATGTGCAAATCAATTAATTAAACGCAAAGTTAATGGTTATGCAATAGGAGGATTAAGGTTTAATATTTAGTTTATTTAGTTTATTTTAATTAGATAAAAAAAAAATTATTTTATGTTTAATTTTATTTCTTATTTGTAGTGGTGGAGAATCTAAAGATGAATTTTGGAGAATGGTATATCTCACTACAAATATACTTCCAAAAAATAAACCACGATATTTAATGGGTGTTGGATTTGCTATTGATTTAATTATTTGTTCTGCTTTAGGAATAGATATGTTTGATTGTGTATTTCCTACAAGGACAGCGGTAATTAATTATAAATATTATATCTTTGAATTAAATTTTAAAGAATTTACATAAAAAATATAATAAATCAGCAGAATACGATTTATATATATTATATTTAATTATATAAATTATATTTTTCAGAGATTTGGTTGTGCATTGATACGTACTGGCCAATTAAATTTAAGACAAGTTCAATATCGTAAAGATATGAGACCAATAGATGAATCATGTGAATGTAATACATGTAAAACATATACACGTGCTTATCTTCATCATATTGTAACAGTAGAAACAGTTGCATGTCATTTGCTATCTATTCATAATATTGCATTTCAAATGAAACTAATGGAAAATATTAGACAAAGTATTAAAGAACAAAGATTCCCAAAATTTATACAACAATATATGTTAGATTTATATCCAAATAAGGAATATCCTTCATGGATTGTTAATGCCTTAAAAACTGTTGATGTTACATTATTATAAGAAATTTATTTTCATAATAAAATTTTTCTTTTTCAATACATATATATTACAGAAATAAATAAAAAATATTTGGTATATTTTATAATAATTAATTTTAATTATTGATAATATCAATACATAAATTATCACTTATGAATATCTTATACAAAATAAGTACTTATATATTAAGATATTTCTAATTAATTTATTTATTAATATACATTTAATATGTAAATTGAAAAAAATTTCAATGTTAAAATTAATATAGTTTTGCAACTTATGCAAAATTTATGTATATTTTAATTGAGTTTTATAAAATTTTATTAATTTTCATTACTTTGTTTTAAATTTTTGTAAAGATCAATATTTTCTTATTTTTTTTTAAATAATTAACCGAATTAAATTTCGAAGTTATATATAATTTTTGTTTTAAATATATTTCTCTATTACTCCAAATTATAGGCACAGAAATCACAAATAATATTAATAATTTAATCACATAAAATCATCTGAATCGTATCCACTATTTTCTGTATTTGATGTCATATTAGATGTATTAAATAAAGAATTATAACTCCTGTAAATTAAGTTTAAAGAATTTAAAAAACTTATATATTTTAATAACAATATAATTACTTTCATCTTTTACCTCATTTCTGCTTCTTCCTTTCTCCGTTTTTCTTCTGCTTTTTCTCTTTCCTTTTGCTCTTTTAAAAGTTCTTTTTATCTTCTCGTTCATTTTTGTCTCGTTGTTCTCTTTCTGCTCTTAAATTTATTTGCTCTGAACGTTTAGTTTTGTTCAATCGATTAATAATAGTATTTATTCGTTTTGTAACATGAATTTTTCGAACATCTTTATCTCTATGGAAACCAACTTCTCCTATTTCCATTCCTTGTGTTTTTTTCAGATTTGACCACATTGTATATACTACATCAACATCATTCATTTTACTTCCTTCAATACTATTTGCTTTTACTAATTGTGCAGCATCTTCTAAAACTGCACTAGGTATATCATCTATTGTTTGCCCCTATAATTTATGTACATATGTATATAATTGTATATAAATATTACATGTTTTTAATAAAAAATATTTACAAGATGAAGACGAAGGTATACATGTGCTGAAGAATATTTATCAACATGAAACCAAACATCTTCTGGCCATCCCCATCTAATAAGATCCTCATCTAAAAAATTATATATTAAAAGAATATAAACATTATAATTACATTTTATATTTTTACTCACTTTCATATTGATCAACCCCCATAAATAACGTTACAGGTGGTTGCACAACTGTAATTCAAAATAAATGATTCTTCGTTCTAACCTTGTTTAATGTTATTTTAATGTAATGTTAATATAAATATTAAAAAAAATTAAATATACATACACTAAATATGAAACCAATGATAAATATTATTACCTTCACTTGTAAAATAATAAACCATTATTACAAAAAGTTTTGGTTGAAACACGTGGAGCAATTTATCTGTCAAATTTTAAATTTATATTATCTTGGCAATTGTGCACAACTAAAAAGAAAGCACATAGAAAAAGAAATGTAAATGATTGGTTATTTCTGATAGATCCAATATAATCATATAAATAAGCATATGTATTGGTTAATAATTTAATATCTAAAAAAAAAAATCATATAATTTTGCGTAACACTAAACATAGTGTGAGAATAAAATAATCTTTGGTCTATGTCTTTTTTTTGCTTTGTGGAAAACTTCTTATACTACAGATAATTCCTCATAATAATATAATATTTAGATTTCATAAAAATGTTATGCTATAAAAATCGCACTCATATTATATATAAAAAATAAATATATATTTTGAAATAATATTTTTAAATATAAATTTTATCTATCATATAAATACAAACTGTTATATCGAAATTGTATTATATAAATACTGTATTATACAAAGATCGTTACAATTTATGAATTATGTTATATCAAAACTGTAAAAGTATAGCATTATAGGAAGTTTATCCATATTTTTATTTGCTAAATCAATAATATGACTAAAAAATTATAATTTTAGAGAAAATTTTTACTTCGAATATTTTAAATCGCTCTAAAAACATCACATTAAAATAATAAATTAGAAATTCATAATTTGAAAATTCCCTTAAGTTGGCATAAATATTCTTATTTGTTCCTCAAATTTGTCCAGGATTGCCAATAGATGCAGACTAGATTTTTAAGAATTTGACATCACATTCTGACATTGGTAGAGGAAGAATAAACTGGAGACATAGTAATGCCATGCGATTATTATGACACATATATCAGACACATATATCAAGGTATATTTTCATGTAACACTAAATCATTGTTATCGCATGAATGATATTATGATACTGTATTATATTATACTAAAAATTCAATGCCATAATAATGTGATAAAAATCATCAAAAATTTTTTCTTCTCTATTATTTCTAATCAAAATGAAATATTAGATTTTAAAAATCCAGAACTTGCATTTGGCAATCCTGTTCTGGACATAATTAAAATTGACTTGGAACAATAGTGTACTATTGTAGAATTGATTTTATTTTTATATTACTATATTAAAAATTAAATGACATAAAATAAAATAATCTTTATTTTATCGGAAAGAATAAAAAAATGATTGATATGAAAAATATATAATTATATAAATATAATTTTTCAAAAGAATTTAAAAGAATTTAATTTATTGAATATTAATTCTATGATATGTTTACATATAATTTATAATATTATATATATTTATGTAAAAATTACATAATTAGAATAAATTATGTTATTATTGTAAGTACATATTATATATTAATAATAATAATTAAAGTGTAATATTTTATAATTTTTTTTATAATGTTACTGAAATTTATTATTATAACATATAAATATGATGTTGCTAGTAATTAATTTTATTAATATATTTATTACAAAATTGTATTATTAGAATTTGCAAAATTTTGCAAATTATAATATTTACTTATTGATATTGCTTATAACATGTTATTTATTTTACAAAATAATTTTTTATTCAAAAGTCAATTACATATTGATTCATATGTATTGCATGTTTTTCAGCATGATACATTGCAATAATATGATCAAGTACTGGTCCTATTTCAGGATCCCTTATTCGTTCACCTATAGCTACTGGCGTTTCCAATAGGGATAAATATACTAAAAATTCATTTTTCACATTAATTATATTATTTACATTATTTAATTATATTTTTTTATTACTCATTAGTAAAAATAATTTTACCAAGTAGCATATTAGGATTTGTAAGACTAAGTTGGATGCGAGGATCATTCATAATTGCTTTATAAATTGGATTATCTGAATCAAGTTCTTTATCTAAATCTTGTAAACTGTGTCTTCTTTCTCCAAGTAACCACTCACACTAAAAATAAAATATATTAAATTTAAAATTTTATATTATGTAAAATTTATAACGAATTTAAAACTTAATAAAATTAAAATTATATGAATTACTTACAGCATTAATTTGATTATTTCCAGTAATTTTTAGAGCCTCAATAATATTGTTTTCTTCAAATCCCATTTCTAATAATAATTGTACAGCTCTAGAATTAGGTTTAAAATCTATTTTTCTACAATGATGATAATTTTTTAACAAACGATCTACTATGTTAAGTATATTCTCTTCCTTCTTTAAATCTTGACATCCTATATTATTATTAAATATTATTTTATATATTATGGAATGAAAAACTGACATATAAATATTTATATAAAATTAAAAAAAATTTTTAATATTAAGAAAAGAATAATTGAATAATTTTCATTTTTAATATACAAAATTTTAAATATATATTAAACATATATCATTATGAAAATTAAATAATTTACAAAAAAAAACTATAAATATATTTATCAAATTTTTATTTGATAAATATTATTTTCAATAAAAAAATCAAAAATATTTGTTTTGTATTTATCTTTTTTTCATTGCTGTAACTGTTGTTTTCTCAGTTGTATTATTAATTTATTTCTTATTAATTTTTATTAAATATTATTCTTTAAATAAATCAATACTTGTTTCATTAAAACATTTTTATATAAATTGATATATTTGATATATAAATTGATTAATTATATTGATATTTATAATTTATATAAATTTTTATAATATTTGATAAATATATAGAAATCATTATTTTTACTTTTTTATTATTACCTGTTTCAATAGATTCTGAATCTAAATCATTATCGTCATCTTCTGGATCATTTTGATGTTCTGTTAACCATTCTAAAGCTTCCATTATATTTGATCTATAATAAGTAGTCATAAAAATTTAGCTTTTAATTTATTAATATTTATATAAATATTAACTTAAATGATAAATTGTACTTTCGTAAGCGAAGAATTTTCAAGACTTTTTTCTCAGAATAACCCATTTCTGTAAGAGTTTTTATAGCATTTGGATTAATATTTGGTTTACATCTTGCTTCTAATTTTTCTTTTAAAATATCACAAAATTTTTGTGCTTCTGGGCTGTATAAAATAATTCTTGCTGATGCTTTTACAAGTGTTATTAAAATTTTTCGCACTTCATTTTGAAACTAAAGTATAAAATGTATAATATAAATTCTATTTATGTAGAAAATGTAAAAGTTTTTGAAAATAAGAAAATATAAAAAAAGCATAATGTATAAATAAGTTTATGTTATATATGTGTGTATTTATTTACATCTGCAGGACAATAAAGTGAAGGAATATGTTTAGGTGGATTACGTATAGGTAAATTTTCTGTTACTTGTAATATTAATTCTTTACTTGGACCTTTCAAAGCCTTTTCAGATAAATCATTATTCGTAGATGTAGAACGAATGTTTATTAACATTAATTCCTCTGTAATAAAGAAATCTATTTTATATCATTATGAGTTTAATATAAACTTCAATAATTTTTTTAATATTTTACCATTTTCATTAATATTTTCATTTGTTATATTATAATTATCTATGAGACATTTGAATTTAGTTGAGTGAATTAAACGAAAATCACTTGGATTTCTTGATGTATCATCACCATAAAAATGTTTTATTGCAATATTTTTGATTGCATTAATAGTCATATCTGATGTTATATTAAAATTTGTAATCATTCCTTCAGGACTATATAAATAAATTATATTTAATAATAATTTTTAAAAAAATATTAAATATTTAATAATATATTACCTTATAATATTAATTAATAAAGATTTTGATTCAGACATTGTACAATTTTATAAATCTTTGTTTTAAGAAAAGAAATCGTCAAAAATTATATTTTTTTTTTGATAAATTTTTTATGTTGTACTAAACATATATCATATTCTTGTAATTTTAATTATTAAGTTATCTATAACATGAAAAAATTCTTATTTTTAATCAATAAGATAAATCAATTCAAATATTTAATTATTATTAGAGTAAATAATATATAAACTTTAAAAATTAAAATAATGTTTATAAATTTATCTTTTATATATATATTACCAACAAATATTACTTAAATAATTTTGTATTTATAATTTCTTATTTTATAAAATAATTATTATATATTTATCTTTAAAACGAAAATTTTTACTTATATTTATATGTATTTTAAATAATATGTCACATGATTGTTTACATGTAGTTCATATTAAGACACAAAGAGTGCATCCGAAAATATATAACCATGAAAAACTAATTTCATAAATGTTTAGTTTTGTAAAATATTTCTTTCCCAATTTTAAAATTTATTTTATTTCAATGATGTTCTAGATATAATAAAATATGACAACTATAAAATATTTTATAGAAATATTTTTGTGATTTGAAAGCACATTAAAAATATTTTTGCAATATTATGTCATTTAAAACCGGAGTCAAAAAAAACAAAACAATTATTAATAATGTAATCATAAATATTAGATTTTAATAAATTATAGATAATAAAAATTATATAATTATGATGTTTTAAAATATATTTTGTAATATTAATATAATAAAAAATTGTTTATAATAAAAAAATTATTTTTTTTAGATCTTTTATATAGATATAGAAGTATTTAAATATATACATATATCAATATATATTCTTTTTTCTTTATAAAATATTGTTTAAATTTATTTATAAATATATATTAAAATTTTTTAAATAATATTTGAATTTAGTGACAAGAATAATAAAAAATATTAAAAATCAAATAATAAAAAATTAATAAAAACTTTTCAAATAATAAATTTATTAGAATGGCTGAAAAGTCTGGATGTGGTGAATTACAACAATTGGTTCAAGAAGAGGAATGTGAAGAACCATTGAGTCAAGGTGGAGAAGCTACACCACCTTCCACACCAGCAAGATCTCATCATCCAAGTAAAAATGATACACGTAATTCTCATATATCGGTATGAATTTAATATTAATTCTATCTATTTATATTATTAAAGCATAATATTATATATTAATTATAATATAATATTATTTATAGTAATATTATTTATATGATATATATTTATTATAAATTTTAATATTGTTTAAAATTTTTATTTGATATCCTAAATGATATACAAATACTATAAAAGAATTATATTTTTTATAATTATAAAAGAAGTAATGATATTATTGCAGCAGAAAACTCATATATCATTTTTTAAGATAATTAATTTAATTTTTTTTTATTATTTTATTTCTATTTTATTATTACACTTTAATATCGTATGAAACTACTTCAATAAAAAATTTTTCTATAAAAAAAAATAATAAATTACTAGATTAATAATATATATATAAATAATGATGATAATTATGTTGCATGTTAACAAAAAAAATAAACATTGTAATATAAATTTAACAAAGAATATAAAGTTGTGAAGTAACAAAATTTATCAACTTGAATACAATATTGATTAAAAATTAATGGATAACATAATGATATAAAATAGATAATTCATTTTAGTTATTGTAAATCATATAAATCATATTGATGATATTTCTTTTAATGATATTTCTTGTATTATCATTATATATTATGTATTAAATATATATTACAATAATATAAATCTAAAAGAAAATGGAATTATAATATAATATTATATTATTTTCAATTAACTATGAATTTCAATATATTAAATATAATAAAGCTAATACAATATTAAGACTAGAGAACATATAAATGTATAAATAAACTTGCTTCTTTTTTATATCAAATTATACATGAATTTTTAAAATATCATTTGTATAGATTTTTCTTTTAGAAGTTATTTATATTTAAATATTTCATACTCTAATATTTTTTATTAATTTAATTCCTTCCTATGTAAATGCATATATATTATCTGTATATCTACTTTTGTAAAATAATACATTTAGATTTATAAATTAATTTTAATTGTAAATATATATAAAATATGTATATTAATTAACTTAATGTTGTTACTAACATATTGTTTATGAGTAGTGCTAATAGATTTATATATGATATAGAAATTTATATATTATTTTATTATATTTTATTATTAGCAACAAGTGTTGTGGGAAACAAATATACAAACATCACCTATTGTTAGTAAAGGAAGTTCTGGTCAAGCAACAAGTCAAGGATCTATGGTTTCTGGTCGAGCTGTGAATCTTTCAAATCATAGTAATCAATCTCGATTAATGTATATGAATGAAAAAGAAAAACAAAAACCACATCGACCAGAATTATCAAAAATTAATCGTCAACATAGAGGTAATTTTATTTTTTATAATAATAAAATATCATTTAAAATCATTAAAATATCATTTAAAATAGATTTCTAAATAATGTTTAAAATTTATTACTATAGTATTCATAAATTTATTACTGAGTTTCTAAAAATATTTTTTTTATATGATTGTTTAATAATATAGTGTTATATATTGTATAATTTATTTGTATATATTATTAAATATATTCTTATATAGGATATAAGAAATTCTTATATAAAAAATATTAAAATAAAATCCTATTAGTTAATGATACAAAAAATTTTTTTTAAATTAATAATAAATTATAATTTTTTCATATATTTTTTATTTTTAAGTTTTTTAAGTTTTCATTATATTTTTTGGTTGTGTTTTGGTGTCATAAAATAAAGCTATGGCACCATGCAAACATCATTGCTTTTTGTCAGAGGTTCCTGATGTTCGACGTATGGAACAAGCTTTATTACAGCTTCTAGAAGATTTTCATAGTGGTAATTTACGAGCATTTGGTATGTAAAATATATATCTAAACATATTTTAGTCTATATATAAAATTTAAATGCTATTTTAATGCAGGAAAAGATTGTAGCATGGAACAAATGACAGAAATACGAGAACAACAAGAACAATTAGCTAAACTTCATTTTGAGTTAGGTCAACGACAAGGAATTGGTGGAGATCAATCAGGTCTCAGACATTCAAGTGCAAATATGGATAATTTATTGGAATGTTTGCAAGAACTTAGTGTTTGTATTGAAAAATTACATAGCAAGTAAATATTTATAATATACATATATAAAAATTTTAAACAAAAATTTAAATAGAAATATGAACATCAATATGATATTATAAAAATATGAATATTTTATAGAATATTTTCATATTTTAAAAATCTTTTATAATATTGTTTTTATATATAATTGTATATTTAATTTCTCAAATAATGAAATCTTGAATTTCTTTGTTTTAAGCTACTTATTTATTTAAAAATTCCCTTAAAATAATAAATCTATCAATAAACACTATCAATAAATTATAATATTATTTGATAGTATTTAATGAACAATAAAACATAAGTAACACTAATAATTTATTCTATTATTAATTAATAATTTATTCTATTAAAATAAATTTGATACCTATTAATTGTATATTTATTTAATTATTTTTAATAAAACTATATATAAAATAAAGTTGGATAGATGATACAAAGGCAATCCATAATTTTTTTTTTTTAAATTTTTTTATCGAATTTAAAAAAAAAGATAAATATAAAATTTTTATAAGATAGCATAAGATTTTTTTATTCAAGACTATTTTTTAAGAAAATTAATTTAAAAAATTCATTGGATTATATAAATATCTAATTACTTTTATTTAATTTCGATTTTCTTGAAAGCAAAAAACTTAGAAAAAAAGAAATTTTTATTTTAAAATCTAATTTTTCTTAAAAAACAAGTTCTTAAAGAAAAATTTATTCTTTTTTTTTAGCTTTTGCATATCTTTTGTTTTAGTTTTCATGTTTTATATATATATATATATATATCTTTTAATTTCAATAAATATTAAGGAATATAAATATATTATTTATATCTATTTTATTTGATACTTTATATAGTATATAAAAATGCATTAAATTGTATATTAAAATATATGTTAATTAATTTTAATATGTTATAAAATAAATATTAAAAATTTTTATTTTCAGAAATGAATTAAAAATTTATAAAATGAAATAAAAATTACGAAATAAAATTTTATTTTTTTAACATATTTCTCTAAAATTTTTAAAACTTGATATTTTTAAATATTAAAATATTTTAAAATATTAAGTTTAAAATATTAATATAATGTAAATAAAAAAAAGTAAATTTTATTTATTTTCATATTTTTTAATCTTATTTTTTTTAAACTTTTAAGTTTTTTAAACTCATTTTAAAATATAGTAAATTAAATAATTTATTTCTAAATAAATAATTCAATAAAGGCAATATATTCATTTTCATTGGTAATTCAAGGAAGGCAAACTATTAATAGTTCGATATTGTAAGTATAAAAACAGTGTACTTGTGTAACAAATGAATATATTCATTATAATTATAATTTATTTGTATTATTATAATTATATTTTATATATAAAATAATATATAAATAATATATAAACTTATATTTGAAATAAGGTTAATATGTTTTTTAATGAGAATTTGATCCTTTAAATTTTTATTTCATAGTATAAAAATGATATATAAAGTTTTACGTAATTAAATTGTATTTTAAAATAAATGAAGCATGCTTAAAGGTCACAAAACAATTGTTTTAAATTGTGATTATTAATTCAACAATTTAATTAAAATAAAATCTGTTGTAACACATATAACAAAATCAAATTTAAAAAAACATAAGTTTTATGATAAAATTTTAATGTAATTTTAATTTTATAATCCTGAATCAAATATCAATTAGTTTTAAACATTCGGAAGTTTATAGACAGTAGTCATTTCCGTTACCTTGCAGCATCAAAACTATATTTCGTACGAAAGATATTGATGTCATGTAGTTAATTTTTTTGGATATGCAATAAAAGGAAACAATCAGTTGAATTTAGTTCTATTTAAAAAGGTGAAACTTCCATTTATTTTATTACATCTGTTAAATAGGACTAATCTTCAATGTTTTCTTTCCAACCTCATAATCAGGTCTGTATTATTATAATATTGATGAAGTTATAACCATACAAAATCAAATTTTATAGATAGTTCACTATATATAATTTTAAATTTTATAATATAACATATAACATATTTTATAATATAACAAATACATATTTAATTATTTTGTAAAAATATTTATATATTATAATTTTAAATATATTGTATTAATAAATTTTCGAAATTTGCATTATTTTATATTTTTATTAAGAATACAGTTTTTATTTTCTTATTTTACATTTTTTAGTTTTATTTTATTTAATATTACAAATCACAAATTAATTAATTAATATTAAATTGCTATTTAATAGCAAAATATTTAGTTAAGAAGAGATATTATTATTTAACATTTTTAGGTGTTATATCACCTGGCACAATTAACTTCAGTAGTTAGTCCAAAATCTACATCATTTTCAGTTAAAGTTAAAAAACAAAATGAATTTAAAAAATCTATGGATGATATTTCCTTTAGTAATTTTTCAGAAGTAAGCTATTATGGTAATGTATTATATAAAATGGTAATGATGATCTATTAAATGTATATTTTATTTCAGGCTACTAAGAATTATATTGATAAGTTAATAGGCAAATTAAAAATATGTGATGTAATTGCAATGTTTGATATAAAAACAAATAATGTTTTGGTAGTATTAGATAAATTTTCCACAAAAATTTGTAGGAAAAATTTAGAAAAAAATAATAAATGGAAAATATCAGATATATCAGAACTGAATTTCAAAGAAAATAGAAAGAAATATCATAATTCTTATCAATGTACGAAAGAGATTATTTTACCTACTTTACCTAGAAAATCATCTAATTATCATATACAAATTCGTAATTTTAGAACAAAACGTAATGTAAATGTTGAATTAGAAAAAAAGGCATCATTTGTAAATAAATTTAAAAACTTGTTTGGTCATTTTTCTGGAACAGTAAGATTATATATTATATATTATTTATATTAATATTTTAATTCTATATATATATATAATAATAATATATATAATATTTTAGAGATATTGTAAATAATTTTTTTTATTTCATAGAATATAGGATATAGAGCAAATATCCTAAAAGAAAAAGATTTAACAGCAATTAAAAATTTATTCAATAATCAAACATCAGTAGAAGAATATAGAAAAATTATATTAGCTTTCATTGAAGGATATGAAGCAGGACTAGCACGTCAAACATATCCTTATTTTGGATGGTTTAAAGTAATGTGTACTTTAATAACAGGAACTATATTTGTAATGTTTTGGTATGGAGGTATGTAAATTTAAAGATTTAATGAAATTTTCTTTTTTACTCATAATAATATAATGACTATTTTGATAGATATATTTTAATATTATTTTATAATAGTTATATTTTATTATTATTAAAAAAAATATTAAATTTAGTAAATAAAAAAATTATATTCTGAAAATTAATGAAAAATTCACTCAAAAGAAACATTTTATTTATATATTAATGTTTGTTTATTTATATATTATTTATTTATATATAATTATTTTATAAATAAATAAACATTAGATTAATATTTAAATAATATTAATGTTTAAAATTATGTTTTAGATTATTAATAATGCATCTTTTTTTGTAGTTTATTTAGTAGGAAGTGGACTACGATTTTCAATGGATGGTATTAAATTTAGACCAGAAACAACAGATATAACTTTCAATGATGTTAAAGGAGTAAGTAATTCATTCTTAGAATTTATTACATTTTTTTTTCATTTCATATCTGTGATTTATTTATTTATATGTAATTAGGTTGCAGAAGCTAAACAAGAATTAAGTGATATTGTCGAATTTTTAAAAAATCCAGAAAAATTTTCAGCACTTGGCGCAAAGCTACCTAAAGGTGTATTATTAGTAGGACCACCAGGAACAGGAAAGACATTATTAGCTAGAGCAGTAGCTGGTGAAGCTGGTGTACCATTTTTTCATGCAGCTGGACCAGAATTTGAAGAAATTTTAGTAGGACAAGGTGCACGCAGAATGAGGGATTTATTCAGTAAGTTATAATAATAAATATTGAAAAAATATTCTAATTATTAAATAAAAACATTTAGAAAATTGTTGAAAATTATTTTATTATATTTTATTATTTATATTTTTTACTTTTATTTTTTTTTATATAATTGATTATATAAATGTTTATATTATGAATCATTTATAATCTATTTATTTTAATATATATGTATATTGAAAATTTTTATTTAAATCTATTTTTTATTTAAATCTGTAATTTATGATTTAATATTATGATTATAACATTCTAAAACTATTTCTAATGTTATCTATTTATATATTTATATTATAATTTAATAAATATTCTAAGTAATTGTATTACATCAAAAATTTTTTTACTTTTAAAATTATAAAACAATATGTTCTAATTGAAAAAAATAGAAATTATTCATTATTATTATTTTTTCATAATTAATAATATAATAATAATAATTAATTTAATTTAATTAATTTAATATAAAAATTTTAATATTAACATTATATTGTTATAACATAACATATTAACATAATATTATTTTATATTATGATATGCAATTATATACAAATGAAAATTTAACTTCAATAAATTTTTATAACTCATTCATAGTTTATTATTTATTACTATTATTTTTTCAGAAGCAGCAAAAGAAAAAGCACCTGCTGTAATTTTTATAGATGAAATTGATTCTGTTGGTGCAAAACGAACAAATTCAGCTCTTCATCCATATGCAAATCAAACAGTAAATCAATTACTTACAGAAATGGACGGGTAAACTAAAAATTCTATTTCATTTTTTTATAATATACAGGATAATCTTATTGATAATTAATATGAAATTAACAATTTTATATATATGAAAGAAGGAAAATTGATAGAAAAAGAAATGAAGGAATTATTATTATATTATTAATATTAAAAATAATTATCTCATCATAATATAATTTTTTTCTATTAATTATTCTATAATATAAAAAATATATAGTATTTATGTTAATTGATTTTAAAAGTTTTTTTTTTTTTAATTTAATCACATTATATTTTAAAAAATTGTTTATTATTTTTCTCAATATGTTTTTTCAAATTATTTTTTTTTATTGTTTCATTACAATGAAGAAAATCAATTTACGAAACGATACAATATATATATATATGTTATACTTAATTATATGAAAGGTAAATAATTTAGTAGCATGAATAAGTAGTATTAATTAAATAATTCAATTTTTTCTCC